AACGATTTGTATCAAGTGATAAACCAAATAAATTCATGTTATTTTTTAAATAATACTAAAAGTTTAATATTGCTATAGTATGCTGTAATAGTATTTAGCCTACCCTTCAAACACACATCAGTTGATTTACAAATCAAATAGAAAAGGCAAAATTTTAATCTAATCTACGAAAAATGTGATAGGTTCAATTTATACTTTAATTTGATAGAATTTGCAGTGCTGTCCTGCTATGTTTTCATCAGTCTTCGACAGATAGGCGAACTTACGGCTTATGAATGCTGCACAATGAGTATAAAAACAAATTCCCTTTATGCACATCACGGGAAGAAAATAGGGAGGATCCACAACCGTTAGCAAGTGTCAATCTAAATTACGTGAACAAGCGAGTCATAGCTTCGTATTAAATGAGAACGCACTGTCGAGAGACCACCTGGAACCAGAGTCAACGCAAGGTACTGACTTACCGATACCTGTTGGCGACTTTGAAGAGCTCATAATTCTTCTTGCACAGTTTTATTGTAAGTTACTGTTTTTTTTTTTTTTTAAATTAAATTTTGATGTTTACTAGCAACAGCAAGTGGTTAAATCCCCGCTTCATTTTCAGCACATAAGAGTTTGACGATAAAATCATGTTACTGTGAAAACGCGATTACTTTTGCGTCAGTTGAATTAAGTAAAATTAAATAGATCTGCTTTGGGCTTTGTGAAACATTACCGTCCATATGTACGTATGACATAATTCGGATGCCTTCTTGGCAAGTATTTTCAACAACTCCACGGCAGCTAATGGCAAGATGTTTCCTTGACAGGCTATAAATCAACAACCACGGCTGATTTTAGTTCTACATCTCTCGGCAGTTTGGACAGTTACTGTAACAGAATGAAAGACATTTGCTGCTTAGCTGCCATCGTCTGCATCGTTCCAATACTATGTGAAGCACTGGGAGAAACGGGTATGCCTTGTCAGCCCAGAGCTATTAGGTATTTTAGGCCTGAAAGGGTAAGTCTTTTGCAAAATATTCATAGTGAGTGGATATTTACACAATGAAATTTAAATTCTCCTGGAAATTTCGACATGGTTACCTTCAACACCATATCCAGAACCGTTCACAGATTTGGTTTACTTACAAGCAGACAATATTCGTGAGATTTTACCTTTGCAGATTTTTTTCTGGAATTTTCAGCACATTTCTCTTAATCACCGAGGTACGTCATATCCAAACCAGTTCACAAAATTCCAATACCACGTTGTACTATTTAGTTTCTAGTTATGGGAACACTCACCTTGATGGTAGAGAAAAATGGTAAAAGTTTTATAGAATTACTGTTACACTGCTAAAGAGTCTAACACTTATTATGGGGACTGTTTCTCTCGTTTTAGGTTGCAGGAACGTGGTATGCTACCAATTTTTACTGGCCCGACTTGACAGCTGAGCTTTGGCGGGACTACACCAACACCTTCACTCTTCATCCTAATGGAAACATGACGTGGCAGTTCGATCTTAGATGGAGGTACTTCTTATTATCTTAACTTATGCCGGGTATTTCTGAGACTTTGATTTTTATTCTAACTACAGAAGTGCATAGAGACAGATGGAGACCATCCTTGTTTCATGTTTAAGGCGGAAAAACTTATCTGAAGATACAGAAGTGCTGCTATATCTTGTACCGGAACTGTCTACAAAGCAAATAGTTTGGGGAATGCGGAAAAAACTCCCTCAATGTACATGTATGGCATTTCATTCGGTTTTGGCAGTTTCTGTAACAATTGTACAAATGTAGAGAACACACTTCTGTTTAAGATTGTTTTTTAAATCTGTGATTAAGAAATAAATACACAATTTTTTCAGTTTTACTAACTTTTCTGAGTGTGACGGCTGGTCACGTGAGCTAGTGCCTGACCCTAATTTCAACGGCAAATACGACTGGATATACAGTAAGTGGGCTCATTTAAAAGAGAACAATGCGTTTGTGACAAAAAATATTTTTTGAAAGTACAGGAAACTGTGTTTTCAACTCTGAAATCCCCGAATGGATACTCAGTAATCATTTTTCATCAACAGATAAATAGCCCAGTCGAAACTTTTAGAACCGATAAAATGTGTTTCACATCATGATTTTTCTACATACTGGGGGTCCCAGAGCAGTTTTACGATAGTTGCTACTTGGACAACTTTGGGCATTTTAAACACTCAAGATGGTAGCCAATCCCATAGAAAAATATACCTTTTTACACAGTAAGTCTTCATTCCTGGAAGATTTCACCTAAAAGCTTCAAATATATTAATAGGGTTCTCTTTCATGTATGGTCTTGTTTTGATAAATTTGATAAATCAAAAGTAGACCCAAAACGAGGAGAATTCGATTAACCAAATCTTGAATAAAAAAAGTAAAATGTTAATTTTCAGACACAATTGAGAACTACAAATGTCAGGCATATTATTATACACTGTATCTCAACAATGAAGTTGTATGTAACCTTGAGGCTAGTGAATGTTTTACAAGATGGCCACCGTGTCGAACAGAGAGATGTAAACAACCATACACTTTTTCACTTACTGGTTTCTGGAATTTTTGCTGCAGATCGATAACAGATTCGTTTCTGTTCAATAACAAATTTGTTTAAGCTTCATTTAGTACATGCACGTGGGGGTGGGGGTAGAATAGGTAACTTTCAATTTTTCAGCACGAGACTACTTTCGGTTTGCACTAACCTGTCACACTCGTGTTTCAGACGGATCACACTACGACTCCCTGTACTTTGCGTTCAACCTCGATAACCTTACATTCACTTACCAGATAGGTCCCGGATCGGACGAGGTGCGCATGGTCACGGTATTTTCACGCACACCCTCGAACACAAAGATAATTCTCACCAAACGTGCCTTAATTCGTTTATTCTGCGTGACCGCGGAGGACGTCGCCGTGAATTTGTGGAATGTTACACATGAAAACCGTAAGTGGTGCAATTTAAATTTAATAAACTATTAATTCGTTTACTTCTCCAGCATCTAGAGTCATACGTTGATGCATTCAACGGACAATTTAACGCATGTCTAGGTAGCGTCGGGCACGTTCAATCTACTCAAAACGGCGCACTACTCTAAATTATGGCTGTATTTAAATGGTTAGCCCGTTGAAATGATGGACACAACCTCAGATACGTAATAAAACACAAGTTTCAAAATACCATTATAAAAAGCACTTGTGGTTGATATTTTGTATATTCAAGTTACAATATTGTTTCTGCAAAGGACAACTAAAGAGTTACTGATACACTGTAAGAACAGTGTTTAGCTCCTAAACACATTTCTAAGCGCCTGTTTTGTCTCATTTTTTCGACGCGTTTAGCTCCTAACATGCTTAGCTCCTTAACATGTTACACGCTTTTAGACCGAATGTGTTTAGCAGTATGACGTGTTTGACGCGTGTTTGTTTAACTTTTAGGTACTAAGAGTATCAACTGTTTTAATCCGCTCACCCACGCACGCACGCGCACACACACACACACACACACACACGAACTCACGGTCACCTTTAACTGTTATAGTATCTTTTTCTATAATAGAGTACCGTGAACTGTCAAAATTGATGACTACAAACCATCATCTTTACAGCTGGACTTAATCATCTTTGTGTTAGCTGACCTTGCGAGGAAGTTTATTGGAATGTACCGACTAACCCCAAGCCCATTTTGGAATTAACTGCTAACTGTAATTCAAACAGCACAAGACGTGTTTTAGTTATTTATATAAAAAAAAGGTTTCAAAACATTATATAATGTTTTCCAGAATGTTATAAACACGCTGATAAAACTCCACAAAATGACGTTATCATAAAATTTTGTAGAAACGGTCTTCGAATCTTTTTACAAATTATAACGTTACTATACGTCATTTTGCATGGAGTTAAAACACCCATAACGTTACCATAATGTTCTTCTATACCATTACCAGCATGTAACCATCTGATAACGTCGTGAAAACGTTATTTGTTATTTGGATCATTACTTAATGGTATATATGAACCGAGCATCGGTGGAGCGTGGGTTGCCAGTAACACAAATAAACCACTTCTACTAGATTCTTATACGACTCAAATAAAGTCGACATGCCAAGGGACAAACTAAATAAATTATTTGATCAGCCATAAAAGAGCTTTAGACTGCTCTGTAAATTTTTGGTCAGAAATTTAACCTATTTATGTGACCTACTTTCCTGCCCCATGTACACATGTATATATAGGATAGTAAGCTAGCAGAAAAATCCATTCAAATATCATTTTTCGGGTAATATTAATCAATGCCTTCTGGTAATTTTCTTAATTATACTTTTTGAAACTATACACTGGCGTTTGGTTGGTTTATGAGCAAAAAATTGACTTTGTATGCATCTTTAATAGGACTATTTGAAATAAGCACGCGATACTGCAAGGAAGGACACCAAGCGTTCGAGCAGACTGCTCCACGCCTTCAACAGCTCCTTACGTTTACAAGGGGAAGTGTTAAGCCAAATTGTTGAGACTTGTAATAAACTTATGGGACCGGTGAAACAAATCACATAGCTAAAAGTGCGACACTTCTAAGCATGTTAAACATTTTTATTTCTTCTGAAAGAAGCTTGAAAAACTAAACTTGTTGTTCAGCTACGCTCTACCAGGGCGACAGACTGATTTTTCACAGATATTCACAGATATGTCTCTAGATAAATAGACAGTCAATTTGGTCTGATGTCGCCTCAGCAAAAAATGTCCACAATAACTGCAGCCCTGGTAGAGGGTATTGTTCAGCAGCTCCACGCGTTTAGGAATTCCACACCTATAGCAGCTCCATGTGTTTAGCAGCCTCACGCGCTTAGCAGGGGAAGTGCTTAGCCAATGTGATTAGCTTGTGATAGGCTTATTATAGATTCATATACCGGTGAAGTTAAGCACATAGCTAAACGTGTAACACTGTCAACGTGTCTAGCATTTTCTTCCGTGAAACGCTTAAAAAGCTATACGTGCTTAGCTTTTACACATATTTCTAAATGCGTATAGGTGCTTAACGTATGTTGTATGTATTTAAACGCTAAACACTGTTTTTACAGCGTACGGGTATCAATACTAGTTCTCATATGTTTTGATGTCTACACCAACTTCCAGTCACTTAGAAGTTTTTTCAAACTGTTAATTTCATTTCAGCTTGCCCAGCATAATGCTGCCAGGATGAAGCAGATATACTGAGTAACATTCAGTGAACCAACCCTTTGATCTTTGTCAGTCAAAAGCTTTGATCACAAATGGATGTTACATTATTTCTGAATATACCAGTATCATGTCCTGTTATTGTCAGATACTCCGAGCTTCAAAGATCTCTTTGTGTCTACCGGATACACTTTGCCATTCTGTGCTTATAACAGAGGTAAATTTCCAGATCAGTTATATCAGCTTTGAGACTCATGGTGCTTCATTTTCTGTGCAAAAAATCTCCAAACGAGGTAATGCAATCCACCCACCCCCATGCTACGGTCTTCTAGAGATGTGAACCAGCGCACGAGTATTAGGATGTGCTAGAATCGCTTTCTAAAGAAGACAGTGCCACTTGATTGTAAAACCAATGCATATTCAGAAATCTTGATTGTTCTGCCCTTCATGTTTTAAGAGTATTTTTGTCTCCGAAGAAACTTCCCTTGCGGAAACAAAAATCATATATGTCTCTTTATTTATCTATTCGTCACGTATTGAGGATACGGAACTATACCTTGAGCACTAATTAATTTGTTGAAAACAAAAGATCAGTGTTATACCTACATCTACATTGTAAGCCTGTAACTTTACACAAATGATGTTTTGCCTAGTTTCAAATCTCCTTTTATTTTCTGGCAAATAGTTTAATAAGCAGGACTATTTTTCCCCATGGGGCATGCAAAGAGAGTTCCTCCTGCACTGAAAATACTCCTAAAGAGACGAACATTAACACGGTCGTAGCGAAACTTTATCCTCTGAGTGAAGACGTCAATCATATGCAAAAATCCTCACTGGACAGCACAGAAACGCGCACATGTTTCGCGAAAAATGTGTCTGTGAATATTTAGTGAAAAGTCGATATGTGGTCCTGGTAGTTTACCACTATTTTTTTTAATATTTGAAAATGGTCAAACCGTGAGAATTTCATTTTAGAAAATAATNTATTGAGGATACGGAACTATACCTTGAGCACTAATTAATTTGTTGAAAACAAAAGATCAGTGTTATACCTACATCTACATTGTAAGCCTGTAACTTTACACAAATGATGTTTTGCCTAGTTTCAAATCTCCTTTTATTTTCTGGCAAATAGTTTAATAAGCAGGACTATTTTTCCCCATGGGGCATGCAAAGAGAGTTCCTCCTGCACTGAAAATACTCCTAAAGAGACGAACATTAACACGGTCGTAGCGAAACTTTATCCTCTGAGTGAAGACGTCAATCATATGCAAAAATCCTCACTGGACAGCACAGAAACGCGCACATGTTTCGCGAAAAATGTGTCTGTGAATATTTAGTGAAAAGTCGATATGTGGTCCTGGTAGTTTACCACTATTTTTTTTAATATTTGAAAATGGTCAAACCGTGAGAATTTCATTTTAGAAAATAATAATAATAATAATAATAATAAGGCGACGAGCAAAACGTAGTTAACTAATCTTGTCGTGAAATGGATTAAATTGGCAGAACGTAGGTGATCGAATAGCCATGGTTGGCTTCTCAAAGTTCATCACATAATGTTGCATTCGCAAGTTTTTACACTTGAGGTGCAGTTCCTGCTCACTGCCAACGTAATCAAGTATAAATTATATACCTACATCCGTTATACACATATATTAATTACCTTATGGACGAGAGCGTTCCACTGGATGTTTCACAGCAGACTACCAAGGACACGAGGATAACGACTTGAATCATGGTGCAGAGTTGTGGCAAATTTCAGGTGCATTTTATTCACATATAGGTGGCATGATGATATCAGCGTGTGTATTAACCGTGTTTATTTTAAGAATGTTTTTAAATAAAGATTATTCGACTTTTTAACTAGATGCCCGGTAGCGTGGTAAAAGTCGATTAGGAATTTGAATCAGGAACATATTACACAAGCAATTCATCTGTGTTGCACCTGTGTCTTAATTAAAGGGATAATAACTCTTCGTATGAGATCTATATTTCACAATAAAAACATTGTGAATAACTCATAGAAATATAATATATTCTGTTTTACCACAAAAATGGCAGTTATAGCTATTATTCTGATATCTGAGCTTGTCTTTAGACCACATGACCTCCATTGATGGCTATACTCTGTTNCGTTTCGGGATAATGGTTTCGCACTTTTCAACGCAGTTCTGTAGACAGGTATCAGTAATACAGTGCAATGGTCCGAATTTCCAAGGCTCGATCGCTTGATTGCTTTGTAGGCCATGTACAAGTATACACGTGGCTCAGCAAAGGTCTGGATGGCTATATAGTACATTGAAACGAGCTAAGAAAGGAAGTTGTTGATTTGCTTGCATCTCAACCATCCCCCACCCTTATTAGAAACAGTGTCTATATACCGTTGTAATAAATGTTGTTGAAATTAATACCCCTGTTATTTCTCTTGTACATGTACATGTTAATATGTTTAAAAGAAGGGGGCACGACACTCATCCTTTCGAGAATGTGCGTTGAAGTACGAAAGGGCCTCATACTCACAGTCGGTCAATAGGTCCTCATCGTTATTCATCCAAAATGTTTGTGCTTCCCCCTTTGTACCCAGTACGTGTATTGCCCACCTAGAAGTATGTGATCCACGTGACCGGTTGCCAGGGCACTGAAGCACAGTCAGTCTCCACCAGGTGGACAGGACGATACAGCTAAACAACCTGATGATCTAGTCCAATAAATTCCTCAAGGATATTACGTTTTTAATACTGAGAACGCTAACGCTGAAATCAACGAGTGAAGTTAAAATCAACGCTGTGAACATGTATGTTCATGTCCTGTGCACTGCAAGCATGTGTTACTTTCTGAAACCTGCCCGTGTCTAAAAAACCGATCTAGTGAGCCTGTTATATAGTGGATGGATTCGTAAAAAAACCCATCGATTCTTTGAAATACCATTGGTATTTCTTTGCCTCGGTTTCGTTTTCAATATCTCCCTATACATACCTTTGTCAGTGGGTAATTTTTATTCCAAAAATAGAAACTGAAACCGACTTACGATGCTGGCAAATGTGTACATCCGCGCGTACTATTTGCTTATAATTTAAATAACGAACGTAACAAATGTTATGTTTTGTGGATCTGATGGACAAATGAATCATATACTGTACCAGTCATCTTAATGCAATTTTGGAAATAAAGAACCATATCATTGGATTTATCATCGTGGAAATATGACCCGAGGAACATGCCCTCTTGTACATGTATCGATTGCTAGTATATGAAAGGTACAGTTTATACTATCTGCGTTTGATAACATATTTCCCAATTCAGGACTTAAAAACTATAAAACCCCGCAAATAAAATGTCTAATTCCCATATCCCCTCTCTAAATGCTGGAAAACAAGCCGATCTAAACGTTACGAGAAATATTCGGCACTAATTCATTCAATTAGAATTATGGAATAAAACATGAGATCAAAGTGCAGGACAAGTTGAACTGTGATTCAGGAGTAAGATAAAATTGCTTTTTCCAAGGAAATTTTGGTGGGAAAATCCCGGATAGAATATCCTTACGCTGGTGGGCATTTTTGGACTGCCAGAGTAAGGTATTTTGAAATAGGAAGTAATTAAACCACCTATTGAAGATATTGTAACCCTTTATTATCATCCAGAGACCGAAAATGAGGTTTTACCAGTATCGAATTATTCAATAATGCATCTATATTTCTGCTGATTTAAATCAGTAAAAAAAACCTTCGGAAACATCAATATTAGCGCTTATAATTCTCTTTGCAATGTATAAGCATAGGAATTGTTAAAATACCTTTCTTTTGTGAGGTGAGATAGTAGTCGGTATGGGGCGTAACTCCATCCCTGAACAAGATTTTATCACAAAAATTGGCATTGTTGTCCACGAGTGTATGGGCGTGTCGTCATTTTGTTTTATTATTTATTTTTTGCTATGGAGTTATGAGGCCCTAATTACAGATTTTCATTAAAGAAAGGGATTACTTTGCTTTATCAACGATAAAATCTAAACTAAGTCTTTAAGAAAAATCGATGGCAGGGCTTTGAAGCACTAAATGGCGTCATTAAATTTGCTTGGAAACGATGATGGTGGATGCTCAGGTCAAAGAGATATTTGAGGAACTGCTTTTTCAGTTTTTACCCCCAAATCGCAATTATGATGTGACCCGTTAGATGACATATGTGTAAATGTTAATTAATTTAGTCAATGAACACTGAAGATGGATCTTTTACCCAAAAGAATGTGTGTAAGGCAGTAAATTAGGAGTTTTGGGCGTAGGGTGACAATATCCTTAAGCATCTGTCACATTTTAAAAGCATAAAGTAATATTTGCTTAATTTTTTTAACCTGGTTAAGTTTTGCTCTTATGTTTTTTTCTTTACTGCAGCACAAATATCGGATTCTGTTTCATATTTAGCGTTCATATTAGAGACTTGCAAAATGATAAATTTTGATTTTGAAACGGAGAGTATATCTAGCGACAATTAATAGACAATAACATTCTGATCACATCTGTAATTCTTTTGTCTTTACATTTAATTAATCAATGAGAAAAACATATATGCCAGAAATGGACAATGGCAGTTATGTTCCCTTTAATATACAGATTCCTTGTTTGTAAAATTCAACATGACAACACGCCCAAACAATCATATCAATAATTCATATTTTCATTAAGAATGGAAACAAAATATGTCACAAACATTATTCTGAAAAAAAAGTTACCAATTTGATGGATATCAATTCTATAGTAAAGAAAGTTATAAAAGTTCATAAAAAAAGGAATATTTATTTAGCGTGTTCGTCCCAGAGCAGAGAAAGTTACTCAAAACCAGTCACTGGAGCAGCATATCAGTGATTCCAATCAAAAAATAAAAATGAATTTTGCTAATACAATAAATTAGCCCTGTGAGACATAAAAGCATGTTCTGATAACTTTCAGCATTTTCTTAAATATGGACTCTGTGATGTTTTCCTTCAGCATGCTCTTTGTTTCTGCCTCAATATACAGCAAATATGCTTGGCGATTCTTTTGCCAGTTCCTTCTCCTGTACAGTAAACATGGGGCTTTTCAAATTTCCAGTGATGTGGGCAATAAATGTCTGCAGGAACGGGATACCTGCACCAGTCAAGGAACTAGAAATGAAAGAGGAAGAAAAAACAAAGATAAATGTCAATATTATCAGGTTTAAAAGCTCTGACTACAGCATGAATCAAACCTTAGTGAAAGTGTTCTACTTTCAGAAAATTACCAAGCAAAACAACAAAAATATTCACTCTTTTGACAAAATAAAAGTTTTGAGTTATGGGAAAAATTTGACTCATGATGTGCAAGACTTGACAGAATTGGGTAGACCAGAGTTGTGGTGCTTGGGAAAATACACTCTTACCTTACTACAAAGAGTTGTGGGAAGCAATTTCCTCCTGTCTGAATGTATGTTTGCTTAGTTTCCAAGAAAGTTTTCAGTAGCAGATGTGGTGAAAACCTGTCTATCTTCGTCAATACGATCTATGTATAAAAATAAATAAAAATATATAAATAATTATAAAAATATATCAAACAGCATATGAACAACAAGTGTGATAGGAAATGTGAAAGAAAAATTGTTAAACTAAAAAGCTATGATAATTCAAAAATACATGTATTTAACAACATCTATCATAGTTGTTAGGAATACATACTATGGTGCTGGCGTGAATATATTGAAAAGCATAAATATTTTAACAGTATGTGAAAACCAAAAGATGCCTACTTTTTTAACTATTAATTTCATAAATAAATACTGCATGTAAGTATAAATGTGTAACTGTCTTAAAGCAGTCCAAATCAAACTGTAGTTAAAAAAAAAAAAGGTAAAATATTTTCACTCAAAAAAATTATTAAACTGATTTCATTTTGAGGAGATTAAATTGGATCAAAAAAATACATAGATAATTGTACAGACTTCAAGACAACTTAGATGTAAATTATTTGACAAGCCTGATCAGATTTTAATCAGATTTTAAAAAAATTCTCACCACATAGGGTATTCCCATCTCACTAATCATATCCTTCCCAAGCTTGTCCACGGGATATCTAGTTGAGCCACTCTTCAGGCACAATGTCCGGCAAAGACTGTGAAAAAGTAAAAGCAGGGAAAATGCTGAATAAATATATGACCATTAACTCGGGAAGATATACTAACCAATGCAAATGTAAGTCAATGTGTCTAAAATATAGGAGTTCCAGGTAGAATCTAATGCATATTTTAATAGGACCAGTGTGCTTTCAGGTAAATTTCTGGTTTAGTCTAACAGCTAGGGACAACAGGCAAATCAAATTTTGAGCAAAACACTAATGGTTTGCGAAAAAAAAAAATTAATGTGCCTTCTGAGACACAGTAAATGATTTGGCGTATTTAGAAGAAATAATCTTATGAAAGTGTAAGCTTTGTGTACAAGTCAAGCACATGTCACTTCTCACTGTTGTGCTAAATATGAGTGAAATTCCCTCATAAACACAAATGTTCAAACATAAGCATATAAACACACAAATACAAGCTAACACACACACATTCTAACTTAAGGTCACAGGACAAAAATCACCACATAGCTGCCTTACTTCTTCCTGCTGGTCAGATATCCTTCCACCAGCTCATGGTAATTGGCAGGCATATTGTACCCAAACCCTGGAACATCCACTAGGCGGAATTTCCCATCAACATCAAAGAAGTTCAGCGTCTGAGTTTGTCCCTAAGGTATGAAAATAATGTTGTAAAATTAATGATGACTGATTCGTGAGTAAAATGTACAAAGAGAGCAGAAATTCCAAATATTCAAGTGCTGGTGCATTTCCAATAAAATTTCAACTTCTCAACATATCTTTGTTCCTATCATCTTCAGATATATCTTATGCTCCCATACTTTCAAAATACAATTCCTACATATTAACACAAACATTTGTAGAATTTTTTTTTTTTTGGTTAATTTTGAGACTTTACTACATACTGGTTTCTTTCCTGTCTTGACAATGTTTGGGGTGCTGGAAAATAGCGCCTGAAGAAGGGAGGATTTTCCGACATTACTCTTGCCAATTACTGCAACCTGAAAAGTTAAAGGCAAATTCATGGAAAATGAAAGGAACAAATGTGCGAGGCTCATTACTTTGTAAACACATACCAGGACCAAAAGCAAAGGTTTTTACTGCAGAAAATTAAAGACCCATACAAAGTGAACATACACACTCCTATTATTTAGATTTATAGTTTACTAATACTAAAACAGCATAGACTTTCTTATATTTTGAAAAAATCCATTTGGATGAAAAAAGAAACAATGAACCTGGTTGAAAACAACAACCTGGCCTTAAATTCTACATGTAGCTTTCCACTCACCTCTGGCACATTTTCATCAGGTAACTTATCCAGACTTGCCACACTCTTAATAAGCTTCACAGACTGAAATACCCCCTCCCCTTCCTTCACTGCCTCATCAGAAGGGGTGAACAGCTTCTCATTATCAGACAGTATAGGAGTGGCAACATAAGACTGGAGTTCTTTCACTGGGTCTATGAAAGCATCTTCAGCTAACTTTTTTGTCCAGTTTACTGCTTTCATTCTTTTCAGATAGTCTGTTTTAGAAACTTGTCTACTTAAAGTCTGTGATGTAGAAATGCTAGCTATACAAGTCATGGCGGG